TTGTTTTTCTGTAAAGCTCTTTAATCCCTCCTTCGGTTCTGAATAATAATTTGGCTTTATAAAGTATTCTTAGTTGGCGTTAAATGCAATTTGAAGACTTTTCCTGCCTCTCCCTTCTTGCCTGCAAGGTCTCCAGTCATCTGTGGATAGCCTTACCCCTTGTGTGCAACTCTTTTTTTCCTCTCTTGAATGCTTTTAATATTTTTTTTCTTATCACTAGTTTTTAGCAGCTTGATTATAATATGTCTTGGGGTGTGTCTAATTGGATTTATTTTGTTTGGAACTTTTGGATCAGGATATCTGTTTCCCAGGTTAGGGAGATTCTCATCTATTATTTCTTTAAATACATGTTCTGTGACTTTCTCCCTCTTATCTCCTTCTGGGGCCCCTGTGATTCAGAGAGTGTTTCTCTTTCAGTTGTCCCAGAAAGAGCTCCAACGGTTTCATGCTTTTTGATTCTGTTTTCTCCTTGCTGGTTTGTGTGTCTGTTTTCCCCTGTTGTGCATTCAGGCTCAGCGGTTCCATCAGCTACTTGTGCTTGTCAGATAGTCAGGACTTGGATTGTACTTTTTAGTTCAGCTGTGGAATTCTTTAAGCCCTTTATTTCCATTGGAAGCATTGTCCTCTTCTCTCTCTCCTTGTGTTCCTCCTTTTGATTTTCAGTTGTATTTCTTATTTTAATAAATACACTTAGGACTGTTGCCTTCCACTTCTCATCTGCTAAATTGTGTAGTTACGCTGGACTGGGGCTTTTCTCGGGGCTTTTTGGTCCCATCCTCTGTGATAGAGCCCTGTCTTTCCATTTTTAGATTTTTATGGCTTGAGCTTCAGGGTAAGCTTTTTTGTCTGACCTGACATTAAGTGTTGAGCTTACGTTAAGTTTTTGGGCTGTTTACTGGGATCCTTGGGTGTCTCTTGCTTTATGAACCGACCCCTCTGGCCCTGTTGGGATGACCCGATCTCTAGTGCTGGCTGGGGATAGGACATAGCAACCAGGGCGCCCGCGAGGTCCCAACTAGGGAGTTTCAAGACTGGAAGTTTCCTGAGGTGCCGTGGATCCCAGGGAGGGTAGGCATCTACAGCCACACGCTCCCCTGGGCTAGTCCCTCAGGCCCAGTGTCCCGAATAACCTCAGACTAGCACCAGCGTCTCCCCAGTGAGTCAACTCTGGTACTCGGGTTCTGCCACCAAGTCTCCTTGGCCCCCACTGGGGTGTGGAGAGGGGCAGAGGCATCTGGGGCTGCTGTCCAGGCCTGACCACAGACGGGTGGGACGGGGCGCATGCGTGTTGCAGGGTTTGCACTTTCCCCGTCCACGACTGCCACACCTGTCAACCCCCTTTCAGTGGTTGTAGTACCAGGACGGGGGTACAGTCGGAGAAGACTTGGCTGTTGCCTTTGCCCTTCAAATACAGAGCCTTGCCCTAGGTGCCTGCTTATGCAGCCAGGGCCCAGATGGTGGTTATCTCAGCTTTGGCCCTAGGCTGGAGGACAGGCAGGTGTTTTGCATAACATAGCAGCCACGCTGTGGCTTGAACCAAGCTGGAGCCCACTGTCCCTTTGCTCTCGGGCACCCAGGTCCGGCTGCGCTCCAGCACCCCATTTAGCATGGAGGTGTTTCTCTTCTGGCCCTGCTTGCCTGACTGCTCTCTGGCAGTCTGGCTTCTGCTTTGCCGCCATCGTCCCCCAACTTTCTTCCACAGTTCCATCAAGGGTCTCTACTCCCCAACTCCTGGGGCTCTCCGAGGTGGAGCCCTGCCCTGTGCTCTCTCTCCATGCACCCCGTCTCCAGCCCAGTCACTACGCAGCCCTCTCACCTTGCGGCCTTACAAACATTCTTAGCACTTACATTTCAGTTTTTTCCTGCCTCTCTGCCGCGTCCCTTTTCTTGATGCACACGACAATGGCGCCCCCTCTCCCAGGGAAGCCACATCCCTGCTTGTTGTGGGGGTTCGGGCAGGGGAGCAGGGAAGCGTGCCTGCCTCATGCCTCTTCCGTCGTGCTGGGCTGGGGATTGCTCTTTCTACTTCATTTCACCTCTTACTAATTCATTCCTTCTGCTTGCTCTGGGTTTAATTTGCTGGGGTCCCCCCTCCAGCCTTTAAAGGTTTTTTTTCCTACTATTGTTAGGGGGAAAAGGATGTCCTAAATAACGCTATCAACCTTGATAGTTGTGTATTTTACTCTGACACAGCTTCAGCTATATCTCCTTTGAATATGCTGTGTTTTCATTATCTATCACTCATTTCAAAATATTTCCCTTGTGATTTCTTCATTGACTCATAGGTTATTTAGAACTGTGTTGCTTCATTTCCAAATATTTGTGGGTTTTCCCAGTATCTTTGTATTAGGGATTTTGAATTTAGCTCTGTGCGGTAAGAAAGCATGCTGTATGTCACTCGGTCCTCTGGAATTAGTGAGGATGATTTTATGGCCCCGGATAGGGTCTGTTTGGTGAAAGTCCGCGTGTTTGTGGCAAGAACACGACCAGCTGTGAATTGAGCGCCCCCTCGGTAGCAGCAAGGTCAAGTGGGTCGACAGCGTTCAGGTTTTGTGTCCTATTTTTTTGTCTATGTGCTCTATCAATTACTGCCTCTGTATTTGTGATGTTGTCCACTTTTCCCTTCAGTCCTGGCAACTTTTGCTTCAGAATTGTGTGTTAAGTGTGGTATGGCTGTAATCAAAGCCCTTCTGTGCATGGAAGTAGCCTTGGTCTGTCTGGCCTGCCTGAGTCACAGGCCTGCCCACATTGTCCCCTGCTAATAATGGGCCCCAGACTCCAGGGGCCCTAGAGGAAAACGGGGCATGCAAGATCTTCCCAACCTGTTTTTACCACCTTTTCTTACCACCCACCTCAAATAATTCCATGTCATCATTTCTGAGATCTTGTCCGCTGAAGCTGCCCCCCGCCGACACTAGCCCAGGTGTTTCCTTTTGGAATCTAAAGAGACACCCCACCCCACTCGCCTGCAGGAGCCACCATTCCCCCCTGGTGTCTCCATGCACTTGGTGCAGTCTTCAGCTGCAACACGTGTCCCGTGGCATCGTGTCACAGGCTGTTGACAGCTGTCTCCCGACAGCTTTGCTTTAATAGAGGAAAGTGGGAGAAATCTGCAAACCTGGATTTCCCAAGCCAAATCTTCCTTTAGCTTGCCCTCCCTGGCTTTGAAGGTGGGGTTCGTGTTGTTCCTGGGTGACCCAGTGCCCTGTGGGACCAGGCCCTGATGATTGAGTCCAGCATGGACTCTGGCTTCACAGAGGACCCTGCACACAGTAGGGCAGGCAGTGAGTTTTTAAGACATAAATGCCAGTGGGAGATGTGCCACACCCCTGCCCCCGGTGACTTCACATCCGCAGTCACAGCACAGGGCCCAGCGCTGGCCTCTGCAAGGGTGGGGAAGGACCCAGAAAGCTACCTCTGAGGACACCCGCAGTTGAGTCCTCAGGAAGGGAATGCACTGCCGAGAGTGTGGTGGGTGGCTTGGCAGGCCTTGGCTAGACCCTCAGCTCTGCTGCTGCTTTTGGGCCCCGCATCCCCAGGAAGGGCAGACATGGCTGTCCTGCATGGGCAGCTGCAGTTCCCTGTGGTTGTGATGGGGTCTAGGTATTGAGCCCTCACTGCCCCCAGGGCTGCCTCCATTTTTACCATGGAACTGGGGAGGTTTCGGTGCAAAGAGGAAAGCAAGGGAGGAAGAGGAGCCGGGAGGAGAGAGCACATAGGAGGGTGTTGACACCCAGGCCAAAGTGGGGCTGCTGGAGGGAGGTGGAGAGAGGCTGGCTGAGAAGAGTGGGTGACACCGAGTGCCAGGAGAAGATCGTGCGCTTGGCCTGTTGTCGCCAGATCTGTTCTTTGACAGAACAGCAGCGTGAGGAGGCGGTACTGACCAGAGGAGGTGCTCCTGGCCCACCCCTCCTTTCGCACTCTCAGCCCCCTCCCCTGGTCTCCTGTCATTGAGAAAGTACCCCCTTGCTACCCCCAGGTCCCACCTACAGGCCCAAGCCGCCCTCCACACACACCATCTGCGTTTGTCCCTGAGCTGTCCCTGCAGGGGTGAGGGTATGTGGGTGAGAGCTGGGGCTTACTTAGCTCTCCCACCAGCTTCGTACCGTGCTTGGAAGGAAGGAAGGACCGGGCCAGCTTTGCTTCATCATGCCCTGAACCGGGCGTCCTAGACTGCGTGGCAGGCAGACCCCAGAAGCTGCTGGGAGGTCATGGCGTGGCCTCCTGGGAGGCCAGAGAAGGCACATGTCCTGTCTGACTCAGCTGACAGTTTGAATGCGATTGTGGTGATTTATGAAATCAAATATTTGGATTTCTCAAGTGAAATCTTCCACTCATTTGCCAGTCTTGGCCATCCAGATAGGGTTCGTGGTGTTCCTGGGTGACCTGATGCCCTGTGGGGCCAGCCCCTGAGAGCCCAGGGCTGCTGTGCAGCTGGGACTTCTGTGGAGCCCAGGAGAAGGGTTTTTAGCAGGGCCGAGCATGGTTTCAAAGATGAAGGAAAGACGGAATCACGAGTCCAAAGCTTTGGGGAGCCTGGAGGACTCGGGAGCACCGCAGGCAGGGGCTGGGGGGACTGTGTAGGCGCTGGGGGGACTGTGTAGGGGCTCTGAAAGTGCGCTGGCCCATTCCACACACCCCCTTAGCCATGGCTGTTTTACAAAAGATGCCAATTATGAAATTTCCTAATTTTTAAGTGTTGACTCAAATTTTGAAAAATGTGGAGAGCAGGCAAACAAAATGAACCCAGAGCCCCTGCTGTTGGCTCCGCGTCAAAGGTCCGGTGGCCCTGCCGGTGAGGCTTTCTTTGCCCCTCCCGAGAAGTGGGGTGCATCGGGCTGACAACGCCGCCCGCCTACACGTCTGGCCCCTGCGCTCGCTGGCCGTGTGGCTTGGGCGGGGCCGCAGGGCCCGCAGCCCGGGCGGGCGCGGAGGAGGCCGCCGGCCCAGCACACCGCAGGCCCCTCACCACGGCGTGGTTCTTGCCGTTCCTCCTGCAGTGGAGCGGAGGCGGAGGGACAAGATCAACAACTGGATCGTCCAGCTTTCAAAAATCATTCCAGATTGTAATGCAGACAATAGCAAGACGGGAGCGGTGAGTGTCCCCCGCCTGCCCCCTCAGGCCCCAGCTTCCGGGGAGCCCAGTCCCCAGCACCTCCCGGAAGGTCGGGCTGACGGCCGGGCCGGGCTGAGGTGCGGGGCTCCCCTTGACGCCCTCACCCACCCGCAGAGCAAAGGCGGGATCCTGTCCAAGGCCTGCGACTACATCCGGGAGCTGCGCCAGACGAACCAGCGCATGCAGGAGACCTTCAAGGAGGCCGAGCGGCTGCAGATGGACAATGAGCTCCTGAGGCAGCAGGTGCGTGCCGCCCCGGGGGCGGGGGGGGGGGGGCGGGAGCCCCAGGGTGCGGGGAGCCAGCCCCTGGCTCATGTCCTGTCGTGTCTGCAGATCGAGGAGCTGAAGAACGAGAACGCGGTGCTCCGCGCCCAGCTGCAGCAGCACAACCTGGAGATGGTGGGCGAGAGCGCCCGGCAGTGACGCCCGCCGCGGGGCCTCGCCTCCGCCGCCCCTTCCCCAGCCCTTAGCACAGAGAGGGACAGACGCCCCTCCCCCAGCTGCGTTTTTTTATAGTAGATTTTTAACAAAAAAGGGGAGAAATAATGCATTTCTGTGGATCAGCTCCCACCACTCTCCTCAACTTGGAAACGAGACCCTCCCTCCCCGGTCTGTCTGTCTCCCCTCCCCGGTCCCCACGAAGCCCCCGCACTTCTAGTGATCCCTCCCGAGGGAGGAGGACCGAGGCCCTGCCACATCCGCTGCCTCTGTGGTCCCTAGAGGTGCTGAGCCAGAGTGCTCACGGAAGAAGGGGAGCCTTTGGGGGGCCGTCCCGGGGCCTGGACCTGTGCAGGGAGGCCATGGCCCATCCCACCTCTTGTTTCTGGATCCCTGCTCCCTTTGGGTGTGTGTGTGTGTTTTCATTTTCTTTATGGAAAAATGGACAAAAAAATAGAGAAAGTGAGAGAGAGGTATTTAACTGCAATAAACTGGCCCCATGTGGCCCCGCCTTGTCTGTGCGTGTATCTGTTCCTCTCGGTGCGGGGAGGGGTTCGGAGTCCCTGCTGAGTTCGATGAGGCCGGCCTTGAGCTGTGAGTCTGTGGCTGTGCACCAGTCCTGCCATCTTGCTCTGCCTGTGCCATCCGTTGGATGGATGGAAGAATAAGGAACGAATATCCCCCGTGAGGCCGAGGCGTGCCTGTGTGGTGTGGGGCAGAGAGGCGCTGGGGTCAAGGCCACGTCCTGTGTGTTTGGAGGAGAGGCTGGGGTCTCCTGTGTCACCAGGTCTTAAAAACAGATCTGGCTTCTGGCTCTACCCTTGTGGGCTGAAGCCCTCCCCCCGGCGCCAGCCAATGGTGGGGCCTGGCCTTGAGCCCCCCACCCCCAGGGAGGGCAGATGGCCAGGAAGCCAGGCTTGGCCCGTCAGCCTGTCGCCTCGCGCTGTGCCTCTGGCGCCTGTGCTGTGACCCCTGCCCCTGACTGATGATGAAACCTGGCTGAGCGGAGATGCAGTGATGCCCGCCCGGCACTGCTGGGGGATGCTGCGGCCCCCATGGGTGCCCACACGACCCTTCACTGCATCCTGCAGTCCTGAGTCCTCCATCGACTCTCAGATCTAGGCCTGCCGGTCCAGTCGCCTTGCCCAGGTCTCTGCCCTGTGCCCACCCCACGTGGCCCCAGCCGTCTCTTCCTTTCCTTTGAGAGCCGTCTCCTGAGGAGATCCCTCTGGGGCCATCTTTGAAGTGAGTGCAGCATGCAGGGGAAAAGCCGTGTAGCCTTCACTTCCAGGCTCCACACAATCCCTTCCTCCCATTTTTTGGTTTTGAGTGGGTCTTGGCAGTGGTTCCGGCAGAAAGAAGTGTTTGTTCCTTGTCAAGCATTGCCAGCCTCCTGAGTTAGGGTTGACGTGGGATGATACCCCATCTCTGGATCAAGGTATGTGGGTCCACTAGGCCTAAGGTGTTTCTTGTAGTGGGAAGTAGTGGGAGTGGTCACCTTAGGCATTCTTGTTTCCTCTCCCCATGCAGCTGGGGAACCAGCTCTCCAAAAAATAGCCCTTGGTAGTGTTGGCCATTGCCTGTGGTGTAAATCCTCCATGTGGCTGGCTTTGAGTGCAGCCTGCTCCACTGAGCTCCAGTGAGCAGCGCCTAAGACACAGCTCTGTACCCTCCTGCATTGGTGGGTGGCAGGACAATCTGTGTGTTGAGACCTTCAGTCAAGGGCATCCCTGGTGGTACAAGGGGTTAAGCACAGTACTGTGAAGGTATCCACAGCCTCTGTAGCACGAGTTTGATCCCCGGCCAGCCAGGGAGATACCCACATGGCACAGTAGACCTCTCCTGTGTCGCTACTGCTCCCCTCAGCAGTGTATTTCAGTCAGTCTGCCTGTTCTGCTCCCCACTGTCTCTGGTGAATCCTCTCACCCCCACACCCCTGGCACCTCTGGCCTACACCCCGGTTCTTGTATGCATAAATAATTAATTCTTTAAAAAAATAAGACCTCCAGTCAGGCTGGAATGGCATTTCAGCCTCTTGGTGGGTTTGGGCACAGCCCCAATCTACCTTCAGTTGGTCTCTGAAACGAAGAAAATAAGTCTCAGTGGGCATAGTGGGCTCCTAGGAAGGGAGCAGGAGCTGGGAGGCCAGGTCTCAGGTCAGGACCACTGGGGGCCCCTTAACACAGAGCAGAGCCCAGGATGGGGTGGGCCGGAGCTGCTTGGAGGCCAGGTAGCACCTGTAAGTTAACATGAATGAGAGGCACCTGTGTGGGGGGCAGGCATCAGCTATTGGCAGTTCCTGTCGCCATTTTTTATAGTCAGGCGTTCATTTTCCAGAGCGGGGGGCCACAACTTAATGTTCTGAACCTTGGAAAACACCACACGTGTGCTGCCCCCCCCCCCACCATGACGGCCTCTGGCAGCCCCAGAGCCCCCTGAGGAGCACCAGGCTGTGGTGGTTCTGTCAGGCACCCCTGAGGGCCTGGTGACAGTCACTCAGGGAAGAGCTGGCATGGGGACGGCTCATCGACCTGTTCCGTTTCTGGGGCACGGGGTGGGGGGGCTCTATTTTCTGAGGTCAACAGGGTGATGTATCGGGGAAAGTGTTTCTCAGGTGGTTGGCTAAAGGCTTCTGTCTGTGGCCTCATCTGCCCCACCCCCCGACACACCTCTGCTGGCCGAGGGTGACTCAACCCTGTTCCCTGTCACTCTGTTCCCGCTTATCTCTTCCCGCCTTTTCGGCGCCACTACCTTCTTGGAAATGAGTTACTGCAAAGGGGAGGGGGCTCAGCATCCCCTCCGCCCCCACAGGCCCCATAAAAGCAGTGGTAACAGCCTCAGATGCCAGGGACAGTCCTACCTACTACCCCTGACAGGACAGAACGCACAATGGCCCAGAACGTACGGACCCAGGCTGCCTGCCTCCTGCTGCTCCTCTTGGCCAGCCTGGTCAGCGGCTCGGTTCTTCAGCGCCAGGTGAGGCCACAGTCCTGGGGCCTGGGGTGCAGAGGGACTGGAGAGTCAGTCCTTGGAGTTGGGGCGGGGGGACTTCTGAGGCAACTGGAGACCCTTCCACAGGGCGGGGCAAGTGAGGATAGGCAGCTGCCTGAAGGACAGAAATGGGGTGCAGAGTGGCAGGGTCTGGGAGCCCTAAACCGATTGCACACTTTCAGTCCTCTTCTGGATGCCGGGGATCAGGCCGTGAACGAGACAGATGAGAGATTTGCTCCCTGGAGCTTACATTCTGGCCAGGGCTTGAGTCAATGAACAATTCAAACCTAAATAAATCACTGTTTAGCAAATGCTATTCACGAATAACACAAACATTGGTGGTTGGGAGGTGCCAGCCTCCTGGTTCTGTGGGAAAATGTTCCTTGATCTTGGACTCGGGAGGGTAAGAGAAGTTGAGGGGGAGTAAAGACGATGGGGTGGGGGGCGAACTTGGCATGTGAGGGCCCCGCAGCCAGTGAGTATGAGTGAGGGTGCCCGGCGGTGACATCCAGGTGGTCCTGCCGCGTCTGTGGGCAGCTGTGCAAACCTGCTTTTCCCCGAGTGCAGAGGAAGCCCGAAGCTTTTAAAATAGGGAAAGCCACAGCCCGCCGAGAACAAGGGAGAGACAGATTGTGAGGGGGCAGATGCAGGACACGAGGGCCAGACGGGCATCAGGGCCCAGGAGGGCGGAGGCCTGAGGAAGAGTCGCAGCTGTGGGGAGAGGAGGGGGCAGGCCTCAGGGTCTGAGGAAGCGGGGTGAGCAGGGGCCAGAGGGCAAGGCCAATCTGAGGAGCGGGTGGGTGGGGGCATGTCTGAGACTCCCTGGGCCCCGCCATTCTCAATCGCCCTCTGCTTTCACAGACAAGACAGCCTGCACACCCCCAGACCCAAGACAGAGCGGGCGCCGAGGCTGACTGGACGGTAAGCGCCCCGGGGCTCCCTCCCGGCTGCACCCCCGCCTGTCCCTGTGCCTGGCCACTCACCCTCCTTCCTTCCCACAGCCCGGGCCCCGGAGACTGTGGAGGCGAGACACGCACTTCCCCATCTGCATGTTCTGCTGTAAATGCTGTCCCAGCATGACGAGGACGTGTGGGTTCTGCTGCAAGACGTAGCGCCTCCCTGCCAGCTCCCGCCCGCCTCTCCCTTCCTTATTTATTCCTCACACCCTCAACACTCAGCCAGTGGTCTCGGAATAAAATGGCCATCTTTTATTTTATTTTCCATCTTGTATTTTCCATATGCGAGTATCTGGTCTCCCTTCTCCTGCCAAAGGTCTATGCCAGGGGCTTGTTTGGGCCCCAAATTGGGTGGGGTGTGAGGGTTGGCGTGCGCTGAGGGTGCTAGGGGGTCCAGTTTCTGTTTTCTGGGGTTTTTTTTTTTTGAAGATTTATTTATGCATGGAAGAGCTGGGGCGCAGGCCAGAGATTCGGGGGTGGGAGGGCAGGGTGAGAGGATTCACCAGAGACAGAGTGAGGAACAGAACAGGCAGACTGACGAACTACACTGCTGAGGGGAGCAGTGGGCACGACAGGAGAGGCCTGCCTCGCCATGTGGGTTGCTCCCTGGCCAGCTGGGGCTCGAACTTGAACTCATGCTGCAGAGGCCGGGGACCGCCTCATAATGCGGTGCTTAACCCCTTGTGCCACCAGGGAGGCCGCTCTGTTTTCTGTTCTTTCCTCCTTCCTCTACCCATCTTCAAAAGACCTGGAAGTTAAGTTGCTACAGTAGGGGATGGAAATTAAACAGTTGCCTTTCCTGGAAGTCTTGAAACAGAGGTAATAAATTCGAAGGCCTACCAAGGAGGCTTCTCCAAGTAGGTCAGGAGGCGCCACCCAAGGCTGGGCAGTGGAAACCGCAAAGATGGGGAATTTCTCTCTTTTCACCCTCTTCCCTCATGAGTGTGCAGTGGCACCTTTTGGGGTAATGTGGGGTGACGTGGGATGACATCCTGGTCACGGCCTGTGTGCTTGGTGTGAGCGGCTTATACTTTTAAGCTTTCCTAGTTTCAATTTCTAACACACAAGGCAATGACAGACATAAGGCACTTTTTGAGGCCCTCGATTAATTTTCAGAGTAGAAAAAAGGGGTCCTGAGACCAGAGGCTGAGGACCACTGGCCTTCTTGAAGGCCCAGACCGTGAGCGAGGCGAGCTGGCTTTGCTTCCCAGGAGCATCTTGAGTCATGACATGCTGGGCCCATGTGCCCCATGGGAGGTGGGGGGCCTCGTCAGTCTCAGTGCGGAGTTAGGGTCCTCCCGGTCCTTCAAAGCCGCATCCCTCCATGTAGTGAATTTCCCCACTTTTGATAGAATGAGGGCTGCAAGACAAGACATATTTCACTCTGTCTTCTTTAGCCTGGTGGTGCAGGGGTAAAGTCTCAGCACTATGAAGCTATCTGCAGCCACTGTAGCATGAGTTTGATCCCCAGCCAGGGAGCTACCCACATGGCGCAGCAGACCTCTCCTGTCTCGCCCGCTGCTCCCCTCAGCAGTGTGTTTCAGTAGATCCGCCTGTTCCGC